TTTAATCTTAGCAGCAGAAAAAGCAATACCGCAATCATCCGGCATCGTACGCAAGAAATTCAACCCTTGGTGGACAAACGAGTGTACTGATGCCAAAAAACTACAAAATAAGGCCTGGGGAATTCTACAAAGATACCCCACCTACGCCAACCTCATCAACTTCAAACAGGCAAAAGCCAGAGCCCGATTTATTCGAATACAGGCAGAAAAGGATTCATGGCAAAAATACGTATCATCAATTAACAGTTCAGTCACATCTAAACACATCTGGGACCAGGTGAGGAAGTTCTAGGGAGAGTACTCCTCCTACACAATACCACTGCTTACAAGTCCAGACACACAATCAACACTAGAAGACCAGGCCAACCTATTAGGAGAACACTTTTATAAGGTATCATGCTCAGCAAATTACACCAATACATTCCTGAAATATAAAGAAAATGCAGAAAGACAAAGATTGCCTACTAGCAGTACCTCAAATGAAAGTTATAACCTTCCGCTTACGCTGCACAAATTGAACAAGGTACTTTCTGCCGATAAAAAAACGGCAACAGGGTCTGACCAGATACACTACGCAATGTTGGCACACCTATCCCAAGCATCCGCGAAGGCACTTCTCCAATTCTTCAACAAAATATGGGACTCTGGCATAATGCCTGAAGATTGGAAAAAAAGCCATAGTCATACCATTCCTAAAACCTGGTAAACCCCCAACAACCCCAAGTAGCTATAGACCCATTGCATTAACAAGTTGCCTTGCAAAAACTTACGAAAGCATCATAAATGTTAGACTTACCTTCACTCTGGAATCGGAGCACCTAATAGACGCACACCAGTGCGGATACAAAAAGGGCTGTTCCACCACTGATCACATTGTTAGGCTGGAACAAGAAATACGACAAGCATTTCTACACAAACAGTTCTGTCTCTCGGTCTTCTTTGACTTAGAGAAGGCATATGACACAACTTGGAGATACGGAATTCTCAAAGATCTAGCTAACTTAGGGATTCGCAGAAGAATGCTGAACTGCTTACACGATTTTTTATCGAATAGAACTTTTCAAGTACGTTTGGGTACGGTACTATCACAAATATTTGTCCAAGAAAATGGTGTACCACAGGGCTGCGTTTTGAGCACCACCCTGTTTATAGTGAAAATGAACTCCATCAACAGGGCTATACCCCGTACAGTCATACACTCCATCTATGTTGATGATCTGCAAATTGCATGCCGAGCCTCCAGCCTATCATCCTGCGAAAGGCAACTCCAAATTTCAATAAATCGGCTTACGAAACGGGCCCCAAAAAACCACAGCTGTTCTCTTTACGCAAAAGAGAAGATTGTTCCCTGAACCCGCACTCAAACTATACAACATCAACATGCCGGTAAAACAAGAACCCAAATTTCTAGGAATCACATTCGACCGAAAACTAAACTTTCTGCCACACATAAATGCACTGAAAACTAAGGCAAACAGAGCACTCAACGTGCTCAAAGTACTCTCCCATAAACACTGGGGTTCCGATCAACTCTGCCTTATACGTATTTACCGATCTCTTGTACACAGCATTTTAGACTACGGATGCATAGTCTACGACTCGGCGCGAAACTCATACATCCGCCGTCTTGACCCTATACACAACCTCGGTCTCAGTCTGTCAAGTGGTGCTTACAGAACATCACCTGTGCAAAGTCTATACGTAGAATGCTATGAGCCCCCTCTATGTGATCGAAGAGCATTACGAACCTTGTCATATGTTTTAAGAATAAGGTCGTCACCTGAACACTATGAAATTGCCGCAAAATGTGACTCGCGCTCACACTACCTCAACAAACCGAACCTCATCAAACCACTTGTCCTACGTTTCAAGGAATACTGCCGCTTTTATACCATCCCTGATGGATCACTAGATGTCGCTATTAAACCACCAAGACTGCCGCCATGGTTCGACCTGTCACAGCTATGCGAATTTTCACTAAGCCGTTTCAACAAAAAAAGCACCCCACCAGAACACATAATTCAGGAATTTTATACACTTCAGCACGAATATAGGGATTACGAAGAATTTTACACAGATGGCTCAAAAACGGAGGACCACGTGGGTATTGGGATTGTGACGACGAAAAGCGCAATTTCTGTGAAAGTACCTCGTAGTTTTCCCATTTTTTCAGCTGAAGCTTATGCCTTGAGTGAAGCAGTTCGGAAAATCATTGCTGAAAAATACAAGAAAGCAATCATATACACCGACTCACTAAGGACACTAAAAGCACTACATATAAAATCCGAATGTGAGCCTATAGTGGGCGATCTAAACATGGTATACTTGAACAGCCAGGCAACCTGCATTCGGTTCTGCTGGGTCCCAAGTCATGTTGGGATACCCGGAAACGAAAAAGCAGATAAGTATGCTTCCCAGGCAGCCCATAAAACAGTAACAAAAGTAAAAATTCCCCTTAAAGATATCCAGAGAACAATGCGCCTGGCCCTACTAGAAAAATGGCAAAAGCAATGGGACACCTGCACGAACAATAAGCTCCACCTGGTGGAACCCACACTCGTGGAATGGAAGACCTGCCGTCACCAGCAACAGTTTATTGAAGTTCTATTATGCCGACTTCGCATTGGACACAAACACTTGACACACAACTTCTTACTCGCAAAGGAAGAACAACCAACGTGTGAAAAATGCCAAGAAGCAATAACACTTATGCACATTCTAATCACATGTCCTACCATTGAAACACAGAGACAAAAACATTTCAGCAAGCTATACAAACAACACGTACCTTTACACCCTGCTTTGTTCCTAGGAGATGACCCTCTAGTACCTCTGCCTGACTTGCTAAACTTTCTGAAAGAATGTAACCTGTTAAATAAGCTTTAAAATCTCATCTTTTTAGTGTCCATTCCTGAAAGTCTTGTGTCTGGCGCAGCATAGCCTTAGCTGCTTTTGTGCCATAAAAACCAAATTAACCTAACAAAACAGCAAAGCGGTGAAGGACGGTAGACCGTCCTTTTAGGCAGCAGTTCCATTAAAAATATATTAAAAATGTTTTCATTACAGAGAGTCCAATGTACTTCAGCGATACATGAGCTCGACTGCAAACATTTCACTGCAGTCGCCAGGGTTTAAAGCAGGTTGGCTATAAAATTTCATAAAATTAACTAGAGGGGACCCTGGCACTGGAATCGTTCAGCGACCATGGGAATTATGGGTATGACATGGATTTGCTTACCATAATCTTTGTGCTTGCGGGCGGCGAATCGCACTTGTGGTTTCGTTTATTGCTGTGTTTTGGTTTTGTTTCGAATGAAAGAACCAACCGTTTTGAACTTCAGGAGCTGATTTCAAATGTTGATTCAAAAAGGGGAAGGTGGTGAAACGTAGCTGACGATTATTTGCTGATTATTATTTCGTGACAAAGAACCTTCGAAAATACGAAAACTTTGCCATGTGCCAATTCCTGATCCCGATTTAGCTGCAAATAATCGTGAACAACTGCTCTTGAGAGCCACAAAGCAATGCAACATAGTGATACTAATGAGTGGCAGCTGAAGCACACTATTCTTGCTACTTCCAGTGCCCCCCCCCCCCCCCCAAAAAAAAAAAGTCTCGTAGTCAACCAAAACGTATGCCTCTGGGAAACAAGATGTGCTTCACTGCAACACAGCAGTGACGCGTTGGGGGCAGCATATGGCATGTTTCTCGCTACTTCAGTGCATTACGATTTACCCATTTCTTTTGGGATTGTAAAAAAATTTAATAAAGGACAGTTTGGCAGAATTCGTGATCTCTGCGAACCTCCTTGCTGGTTGCTCCAGCAATTCGTGCACTTGCACTGCTGGCAGAGTTCTTGTTTGCTAAGCCTTCTTCGAAAACTAAGCTCAAAAGCTTTAATGGTCATGCTTTTTTGTCAAAGCATATTGTGAATTTCGTCACACTTACCATTATTAAATTCTTTATTTTGCCAGAAAGAATCGGCTAATGGTCGCATCATGAGGTACTGACGCAGCAAGGAGCAGACAACATACTATCTGCTTGTCATTACCGTATTGCAGTGAAGCATGCTTTGTTTTTCGCAGGCACGCATTCAAGTTGATCACGCCTGCGTTTTTTTTTCCCTTTCTTTTTTGTGGTAGCAGCGAGGTCAACCGTTCCTCCACATTTAGGGCAGAATTAATACCAGGTATGATCAGCCGTGATCAGCCCTGATTACTTTGAATAATTGCAAGTTCTTTGCATCCCACTTTTTGTGTGTTCTGTTAATTCAAAAAGTGACTTAATTGGAATATTTCTCGCGGTCCAAGTGACTTTGAATTAACGAGGTTTTACTGTAGTGAAAGACTTTGTTCTCGTATTCCCGTAACATGCTCCGAACGTTCGAAATTGCTGCTGGTTACTTCATGAAATTTGGTGTTCAATGTTGGGACATTTACAATTCTGCACACATTAAGTATCCAAGTGAAGATGTATGCAGATACCTTTTGTTTTGGCATTAAATTATTATTTATACTTAAGGGTCATGAAGTCTGGCTTCATTGAGGTAGCATGTGCACATACTTCGATGTGGATTTGAAGGGGAATTTAATTTGTTTTGTTTGTTAACCTTTCATAGTCTGTCTTTGTACTGAGGCTCACATCAGGAGAAGTGCTGTCACTATGAAAAAAAAATGTTTGAACATGGTAGTAACTAGAGATGTGTGGGAATAATATATTGTAGTCCTAAATCGTAAAATACCAAGCTTTTTACATATTTTGATATTTTTGTGTTATCGATACTCAAAATGTGCGTATATGTTTCTGTAATATAGTACTTAAATTTTTTCGTTTTTCTTATTTGCTGCTAATCCTTTATAACACATTGAAGACTTTCTGTTAAATAAATATGTAAGCTTGTACATTTGCTTTGACCGTTGTTAGACTAGTATAAAAAATATTGCAGTGTGTCATGACATTAATGAGTTAAGTTCAGATTGCTGCATTGATGTGGTGTGCAGGATGGAGAAACATACTGTCTGGATGCCCGGCACTATGGCAACGTGTGCCGCTTTGTAAACCACCTATGTGAGCCAAACCTGGCACCTGTACGAGTTTTTGTAGAGCACCAGGATATGCATTTTCCTCGCATGGCTTTCTTCAGTTTACGGCCCATCGCCAGGAATGAAGAGCTAGGGTAAGTGCGAGGGCTCTTCTTGTGGCTTAATACCACAATGGAACACCATTAAAGTACTTCGTCTTTTTGTAGAGGGAGATGCGGTTCATGTCACACAACCTCCATTCACTGTGGAATTTTTTGGAAAAGGGAGTTTGGTAATAACGGCTTGGTCTTGATGAAGTACTCTTATTCCTACATAGCTACCGCTTGGAAGAAAACTGCGCAAACAAAATTGTCTTAGCAATCCCAATTGAAGATTTTAGCATTATACTTTCTTTCAGTGTAGCATTTCACACCATGTACAGTCTAGCCCACTTATAACGAACCTGAGCCTGACGCGGCATTCGTTCGCTGTATCCCGAAGTTTGTAGTAAATGAAACACAACTTTTAAAAATGTTGTGAGTGAAAACACAAACTTCTTTTGCCCAATAAAGTCCGTGATGCACATGTTTAGAAGGGCAGAAGCGATAAGGGCAGTCTCGAGTTTATTTCAAACGGCAGCATGCTCGTTCGCCGAGCCCCGTGGCATTAGCTGCACAAGGCACTGGCTCTAAAGTTTCGTCGTTCTTGCAATCTGATTCTTCCAAATCGCTCTTGCCGCGTACTTCATTCACAGTGCCTTAATCCGTGCACGGTTTCGCAGTGTCGGCATCTTCATCGGCTATAATGAAACCATCGCAACAGATGTCCCATCCGCTCTCTCATGTCGGAGTCAACAGCGCGCTGCCACAAATTGCCGCCGCAGTGGTTCTGTTCAGAAACTTCAGGCTTGGTATCGGGCCCGGCGTCGATGAAATCGTCCTCGCGAAAATAGTTTTGCGTGCATGTAGCCGTCACCACCGCCCACAAAATATTCACCATCTCCACAGCTGAATATTGGGACGCCCGAAGCAGCAAGTTGGCTGCCAGGTGGTCAACAACTATGAGCAAGCGCTCCGCAACGCGGCACCTAACGCGCGGATTACATCAAAGCCAAGCGGTCACACTTTCGACTTTTTGTTAAGCAGCGGAAAAAGCGTGCTAGGCCTCCCGTCCGCCTTCCTGACCACACACCCACACGCGACACACATGCCAGAACGGGTAGAACAGCTCTGGGCCCGTTTCTTAGCCGGAAAGCGAAACTTCTGAATTTGAGCCAGCGTGGCTGGCGTCTCGGAGCGGTGGAGACGGGCGAAGGGGTTGTGATCAAGAAAGGAGAGCCGATTTGCGAGACAAGGGCAAGGAGTTGCTATAGGGGGAAGAGAGGGGAGGATGCGGCAGGAGGGAAACCGTGAAAACCAAAACACGCGGGAAGGGCCGTTCCAAGCGCTTCCCGCACAGCCGCAACGCACGTGCCAGGACCACTACCGCACGCAAGTTGCTTGCGGTAAGGGTCCCAGCACGTGCGTTGCAGCTGTGCGGGAAGCGCTTGAAACGACCCGAAGAAGGCAGGTCGGGTAGCTTGCGTGAAAGGTCCGTGAAATGCGCCACTCGCGCGTACAAAAACTTGAAAGAGTGCCTGCGTGCGCAGAGATCAAGGCACAGCCGCCTGGATAGGCGTGCACAGCGGTTTTCAAAGAATCGGCCGGCGTGGTCAAAAATTGTTTGTTGCACTGGCGGGTTTGCGGGGCCTCACCGACTTCGGCATTTCGCGATTCGTTCCGTGCAAATTAACAGCCCTTTTCATGCTTCCGCATGCGTGCGGAGGGCATGCTGAGCGAGTGCGGAGGGCATGCTGAGCGAGTGCGAAGTGAGCGAGAACGGGTCCTAAACATGCAATGAATCGCGAATTGTCAGAATCAGTGGAGTAGCGCACACACGTGCACTAGACGCAGACGATCGGATAGAGTTGGTGGATGATGATGTTGGCAAATGGTCTGGTCACTCCAGGCCGGCGACACCAACGACAGTACCAGCGATCGAAAACAGGGGAGATGGCGGACCGGTTTTCGAAAGATCCGTGGCAGTGTGAAAATACGGGCCTCGTCTGGCGATGCAAGGTGCTCAGAGTAGCGGAGGGTATGAAGGACGGAAGGGTGCATAACAAAAAGGGGTCGGGAAGAGCGGCAACTAGAGGGGCACGGAGGCAGGGTCGGCGTTTACACTCTTCCCACATAGTCGTAAAGCATGTGCCAGGACCCCTACCACACGCAAGCGGGGGACAAATAATCCAAATGGCAACGCTCTTTCACCCTGCGCAGTGTCGCCAATTGGCTTATTTGTCCCCTGCTCTGGTGCGGTAGGGCTCCCTGCACGTGCGTTAGGGCTGTGCAGGAAGCGCGTGGAATGGCCCTTGACAATGAGAATGTATGGGCACCTCGCCGATGCCTGTGATCGGTGGTGGAAAGTGGTTTCACGGGAAGTTGGCAGAGCGCTAACCCCGTTCGCTGTAACCGATCGGCGACGCTTGGAGACGTTGTAAGTGCGATTTTGTGCCTTTAAATCAATATATATTTTCACGGTCACGTGGATATTGTTCATTTTAAGCGAAAGTTCATTTTAAGTGGGGCCGTTATATGTGGGCTCGTCTGCAGTGCAACTTCAAATTCTATTTTTGAGGACATCAACATCTGAACCTTCTACTGCCAACACTTCGCCAAGCTGTCAGAGGCAAGTGTTGCACCATGTTTGTTTATACACGTGTGAGATGCACGCATGTGTGCAGTATACTTTCTCACATACATTCTTGCTTTAGCTTTGTTAGATTGCACAAAAAAAGAGAGAGAGACGTGGTAAGTTGCTTTAAAGGCAGCTATATGTGTCAAAAATAGGAAGTTTGGACAAGCGCAACCGTGCCATTTCTGCCCCGTGTGGCTCCCGTTATAAAGCTTACTCGAAGCCATGTCGCATGACCTACTTCGTGCCAATACGGCAACTTTTTGTAAGGCAGTGGTGGCAGAAAAATCGTTTGTCTACTTAGCTATTTTTTGGCTAGTTTTTGTTGTATTAGTTTGAGCAAAGTTATCAATATCTGGGGACGTTTCAGCCATTTACAAAACATGGTGGTCAAAGTGTGCTTCCAACACGGAAAATAGACTACTCCCTGTTTCCAATCAGTGTGACGTCATTGCGAACGATCTGGCCACAACCCCTTCTCTCGGAGCAAGTGCTGGTTGGCAAGAAAGTTCCGCCAGCGGGATCTTTCAGCATAGCAGCGCTACATGTGTCTGCATTGCTTCGACACAAGTTTCTGCAAATTGCTTTTTTCTAAGGCCATTGCTTTTAAAAAGAAGAGTCACTGCCTATATGGTGATTTGGTCGTCGTAAATGGCAGCCATAAGAAATCTTATTCACTTAAAAAAAAACAACTTTAGGGCATGTTCACGGTGACTGACGCTTTGAGGAATATAGTGATTCTACTCCTGTGACAACTGCGTCAAAGTGCCCCAAATCAAATTTACTGTGCCATTCTGATAATATCAACAAAAATTGCTCCAAAATGCGCTAAAGTCGCGGGTTTGGGGGCGTTTATCATCAGCAGTAGCCACGCCGGCGCATCAAAACATGAGCAGTTAGGGGTCGCTGAAGTCGCGACCCCAAACCCCTAGAATTATTGGGCTGAATGATCAGCGGTCGTGAGTGCATCCCAAGTAATCCCAAGTTCCGGCGCAGCTTTTGGTGTGCAAGTCGGCTCAACGGCAAAACGCGCTTTCTGCAGAAGCTCGTGATGTCTAGGGCAATTGGTAACATGTAATTGTGGCAGCTATTCATCGGCAGACCTCGCTCGGTTCAATAGTCGCACTGCACGTAATTAAAGTAATTTTTCACTAATAACTGCACATGGGCCGCCAGAATGCCTGTCGCTTCTATTTCTCGGCATCGTGATGGAATTTCCCAGGCTTTGTGTCCATAGAAGAGCACGGGTATGGTGGAAACACGTTGACACTTTTCTTCTAATATACGTCATTCATGAGTGTTCATCCTGAACAGCTTTTCCGTAGTTCCTTCCACCAGCAAATCTGCATTTGTATTCTATCTTGCTGTAAATGCCCCTAAGAGATCCTATCCTTGCAAGCTCATAAGTGCAAGCGTCGGCATTCAAAATTTTTGTATTGTTTGAAGAAAAAGTCATCTCAATAAATAAAAGCGTCTTGGTTGGACCAGCCTCAATTCGCTATCAATATGTGCAGCTATCAGTGCTGTGCCCATCGCTGACGGCCCTACAGAGCTGGAAGGCCCTATGTGATGCAGCTTCGCTATGTTGCATGTCTGATGGTTGGAAAATCAACATCTCGGTATCGCAATCATTGCTTTATTTTGGGGGAGGGAGGGGGGAGGCTGCATTGCTGGTGCCCGCTATCTTGAGGCCTCATGACACTGCTCGTGAGCTTGTTGTGCTATCAGCGTCTACTTTGAATTTTGAGGAGTGACAGCACACACACTGCTTCAGCACCTTGAGTTGGCCATAGTCCCTGTAACCTGCGTTCTGTTGAGTTGCACTAGATTGGGTCCAAAAGGTAGAATTCTTCAGTTTCACTTGAACTCTTAGCAATGAATGCAATATCAATAAATTGCAGTGTTGTGTGAAGTAAGGTTTGATGTCATCCGCGAGGTGCACTAGCGGCAGAATTGCTATTTCGAAGGTACGTGCATTTGCCGCATGTGCAAAAAACTTGCTGCATGCGCTGTGTTCGAGATCCGTATGGCGACTTGGATGACTCGAAACCTTTGGAAAACCTCCCGCATGCTGATGCACGTTCAGCACAAACTACGCGAACGAATGGACCGTCCGAATATTACAACAATGGTGTTGCCGCTGCAGATGAAGCCTCAGTGCACACTCCCCATCCCGGCCGCCCAGCGCGCGCAGCGATCCAGGTGGCCGTGCCCTCTAGGGAGTGCAATATTTTTCGCACAGTCTTTTCGCGCTGAGAGCACAACAGATAGAAGAGTATACGAGTCGTCTCTCTTGCCATCTGAAATAGCGCGTGCACCAGCGATTGCGATCACAACCGCGCCGTCAAAGCTCGCAATTGCATACCTGCTAACTCTTCCGAATTTCCCGTAAAATGTACAAATTTCGATTGCGCGTACGATTTTGCAAATCTCGCTTGAAGTTTACAAAAAATATTTCATTCCCGATTAAAAAGTAAAGTTAGTAATATAGCGTGGCCTCCGCAATTGGCGACAGCGCATTGCTGTAGCTGGTCGCGGAGGCCATAAAAATGGTGTTGTGCTATATTCTGCCACCAGGAGAGAACTATTATAATGGTCTTATCATCATCACATACTTGCGAAGTCTCACACATACATCATCGCATACTTGCGAAGTGGGCAAAACGGGTTTGTGCACCACCTGGATGCCCTCCTTCCCCAGCACCCTGGACAGTTGCTCACTAATTTCTGGAACGTATGAGACCGAGATGCAGTACGAATGCTTGGGAGAGGCTTCGTTGTTTGTGTCACCCCATGGATGCTATACACATGCAGGTTTCCGTGGCAGGAAAAATCATTGTTGTACCTGCCCTAGCTGCGAAAATATTGCGGCCTCATCATTAAAGAGTTGCAGTTTTACATTTTGAGAAAAATGAAAAAAATAATGCACGGTTTCTTCAAAACAGAACAATTAGGGTGTGCATGATTTACGATGCAGACGTCAATAAACACTGGAAAGATTATGTGACAACCATTTAGTGTTGCTGTGGCCCTTATTCAGTGCTAGCTGAACACTCTTGATTGTGGCATGCGGGCGATTTGACTCAGCTGCTTGGTGCCTGTCCTTCGATTGATTTGATTGATATGTGGGGTTTAATGTCCCAAAACCACTATATGATTATGAGAGACGCCGTAGTGGAGGGCTCCGGAAATTTAGACCACCTGGGGTTCTTTAACGTGCACCCAAATCTGAGCACACTGCCTGTCCTTCTCACTTGTCCATTTGATGCTTAGGAGGTTGGGTTTATTATTGAGATCTGCTAAGATATCTGATGAGGTTCTCGAATTGCCACAATTTAATGTCTTGGAATCTGCACTTTCAACCGCAAAAAGCAAAGAATGCTGTTCCTTAGACACCAGAACCTGAATAAGTGAATAAAGCATTTACATGCATTTACAATAAAGCATTTGCATCTTTGGCACATTTATAGAAGCTCTATTTTTGACAAGGCTTTCACAGAGTGGTGAAAGAGCTTCGGACATAAGTGCTGGCAAATTATAAAGATGCCTTGAAGTAGGCTGCCCATTTTCTGGCAGGTTCTGTATGTTGGTGGCACCAAGATTTTACCAAGTTAGAATGACATTACAAAAAAAATTACCACTTCCACGAGTGTGAAAATTTCAAGAGAGATAGAAATATTGTTGCAGAAACCAAAGGTCATTTTTAAAAAATTGATTTTTCGGTCAATTCTTGGTTCCAAAAAAGCCCACCCCCTTAGCAGTAAAACTGTCTACATCAGATCGCTGATGTTTTTGCCACAGGTAATTTGTTGTGGCTTTCAATGACGAAATAAAAATACAATTCATCTCACACGAGGAAAGCAGAGTTCGTTTGATGGACAATATTTCCGTCACTGGTGCAATTTCATTTCATGTTCTGTGTAATAGTAGTTACTTTTAAAGTGAGCCTTGAAAAATCAGTACGCAAGAGGCAGAGGCAGCAACAATAGCAGTCATTAGGAACAATTGTGAATGAGCGCTTGTGCAGCCGCCTTTGCTTCTTGTGTCCTGTTTTTTTTTCCGTGCTCTCTTTAGAATCTCTCACCAACAATCAATTTTTATAGGATGTCTGGTGACCTGCTTATATAATTTATTAGGCCTAGGTACAAACTGACTCTGGATTGAACACGAAAGAAATTATTGTGACAGGGGCTACAAGTTATGGTTCAGTGCCAGCAAGTGTGATTCTGAGTGCATTGGATCATCACTCTGCAAACTCATTTTTATTGTTGCAACTTTCAGTCATTTCAAGAAGAGTCATGTAAGACGCATAACGAGAGAGTAATCTTTTTCAACAGCCCAAACACTACGTCATCATGTGTTTCCTAAAGTCAGCAATTTATGCTGGAAATTCGTGAATTATGATTCAAGCTGCTCATATTTACATCTTCATCGAAAGTGTTTTGCATTTAGCATGAAAAATGTGGAGGCGGTTTCGGCACATGCATGGCTACTTCTGGCTACTTCTACTTTCCTTGGCTCAAGTTGGCTAGTTTTGCAAATTTTCTAGCTATTTTGGTCGTTTCGACCTGGCAGCCATGATGTGGGCTTACTTTGGCATGATTAAGTTTGTCAATATTTCTGTGCTGTTTCTCATAAACAAGCTTTCATGCTGCTTTCTATTTTTTTTCCTCCCTGCTGTTCGACCTGTGAAGAGATGCCCGGAAAGTCAACGACCTCACTTGCAGCATCCGAAATCTGCATGCAGGGCTCGCTGTTCTCTACAATGTATTTGTCACAAGTAAACTGCAATGGGGCACGTAGGAGCGGACTCTCACACGCTTCCGAATGCCAGTTTAACTTTTTTTTTTTTTCACTTTGTATGCACTGCATTTTTATACGACTGTGTCAGAAGTGTTGGTTCTAAAGTAGGAGGATTTGAAAAATGTTCGCAATATATAAGCACAGTTTCAATGGGTAGCATAGGAAAGTCATAAGTGCACCAAAATGTGGTCATTATACCTGATATATCGTTATGTCTGGAATTGTTGCAAGTAGGTTCGACTGTATTCTATCAAGACTTTGCACAATTTGATCACATGATGATCTGTTTCGTTGATCCCTGCTTTTGTGTGAAAAGTTGCTTGTGTTGTGTTGCAGCTTTTAAATGTTATGCCTTTATTAATTTACTAAAATACTATTCACAGCAATGCTCAAATTCTGTCAAAATTCTTTGTTTTGTGTAGCTACAGAAACCATTGCAGAAACTGTAAAATAATGAAAGCAACCATGGCTACCCCTAGCAATATTAGGCACATGGAAACTTCTACCAACTGCAGAGTGCATTGCCTCGTCCTTGGGTGCTGTGTGAAATATTGTCAAAATAAAGCTACGGTTTTGATAAAACTGCCTAAATGTAACACAAGAGCTCGCCTTTCGTTACCACACCTATTCAAATAGGTCAGAGGTGATCGATGCTTTGAAGCTTATTTTGGCATGCTGTATTTGTTTGTTGTCACCTATCTATGTCTAGTGATTAGTCCAGGTACCAGTGGACTAACTACTAGAATCACAAATTCTCTTCAGTGCAGTTTAGTTTTGATTTTTTTCCAATTGAAGTGGATTTCGATCAAGACTGATCCTCCTGTCTAACCTAATTTAGTGTTTTCATAGCGTGATTACTACCTGTTTTCTTTTGCAGATTCGACTATGGAGAAAAATTCTGGACGATTAAGTCTAAAATGTTCACATGCAAGTGTGGACATCCAAACTGCAAATACTCTAAGGAGCGCATTGGGAAGACTCTGAAAAATTACAAGCGCCGAGAAAAAGCTGCTGCTGCTCAGGCTGGCGGGAACGCGGCTCGTGCTAGCAAGACAGCTGCTCAGGCTGTCAAGGACCCTGCTCAGGCTGGCGGCGGGAACCCTGCTCAGGCTGGCGGCGGGAACCCTGCTCAGGCTGGCGGCGGGAACCCTGCTCAGGCTGGCGGCGGGAACCCTTAAGCAGTGGTACTACTGTGGCGTTTACGCTCAGAGTTCCAATTTTTTACACAAGTAATTTCAAATTGCTTTGTTAGAAACAGTGTTTTTTCTCTTGTTTTCTTTGCACATTTTTCCAGCCATTGGAAAACATTTGTTTGACTCAAAGTATCGGTCAACCTTTCATTCCTGTTAGATTAGAGGTTTCACATTTTCTAATAAAATTACTGTGCATCCACTTACACATGTGTATCCTACATTCACTGTATAGGCATTATACTAACATACACCCATCTTGAAGGTGTCTGAAGTGTTACTTTTACCTTTTCCAATACCTTGTGATTACAGCATCTTGCTTGTAGAAAGGGGCGTCAGACACATTTAGACCTGAATGTAAAATCTTTAAACGTTGCTGAAGTAGTAGCAAATTTTCTAAAATTCATCACTTCATCTGCACTACAGTACTGTAACATTATGTAGAATACATTTAGTACTGTAGTTTAGTCTGTGCAATAAAATTTACCTCTTTCTTTTCACATATTGTAAGCTGAAAACTTTTTCAGTTGGTGTACATAACTTTTTAAAGGGCGCACACAGCATGATGTTTTATTTCATTTACATCAATAAGCAGTAGTATCAATGACCAGCTTGTCTGTACAGCAGACTCTCAGTAAACAGAAATCTGTTGAACGTAACTACTTCCTAAATGGAACTATTGCCTCTGCAATGGTTGGTTTCGGGCTTGTATTCTGCACCCTTGTTTACCTCTCGGTAGATGGAACACCTGTTAAATGGAACATATTTTCTTGGCCCCTTCAGGTTTCGTTTACTGAGAGTCTACTATATGTGGTGTTTTTGCTGTAAATCTACTTACAAAATTATCTAGTGAATGTTCCAAGTAGCAGATGCAAAAGAAAACAATGTCTGCCAATAAGTTTTTTATTGAACTACCTTTTGCTAGCTAACTTATAGTAAACTCACTTGGGTGTTACAATTGCATCATTTATTTGACTCTGTCGCTTGTTGTATCATTCCTTTCTTTTTTACAAGCAACTTGATCCTTAAGCTTTTAGGTTTTCTACTACTAAAATGTGTTGACTGTATACTTAATTTTATAAGGTATTGGCGGTTGCCTGGCGTGAGCTTGGAATCGTTGTCACATACACTTGAACTCACTTTATGCTAGTCGAGATTTTCATGTCATTATCCTTATCACAATTATCACCAGATAATATATTTTTAATAATTAGAGGCAGCTACAAGCACACCTTCACACCTTTACATCTTTCCATAACAAAAATTTTTTGTAAGCAGAGCTTGTGTTCAATAAATAAAATGTTGCTAGGCTTGGATGTATTGTGAATGTGATACAGTGTTTGAGATGGAAGAGTACTTTGTTCTTTTAAAAATGTGTCACAGCATCAGCTGCGCTGCCGCTGGAAGGCGCCACTCACCAGTGATGAGCTGGCCGACCAGCTTAGGGCCGTCAGGCAAGCTGAAAATGCGCCCGGGTCCAAGGACTACGAGCAGTCACCTGAGGCACCGCCATCATAATCGACGGAGAGTGGGAAGGGACAGGGGTTAATCCCCTCTTCCCCCACCTTGCTTGGTGAAAACTGCCGGACTTTAAATAAAGTTTATTCATTCATTAATTCTCCTCACATTGCCAGCAATACTGTTTTAAGCATGATTTGCGATCTTGGTAGTAGCCTAACTATAAAGAGTGAAAAGTTTGGGGCTTACAGTGTACATGTAATGTTACCAACACTAAACTCCACTTGTTATCACACACACACACACAAAAAAAAATGTGATAGCTTTGAAGTGGCACATCGATCAGTGAGTTTACTTCTAAACTTCAGCGCAATGGCTTCTATCTTTGGTGCTCACATTTGGTTGACCATGATAAAGCAGGAAAAGATGTGTCAGCTAAATCAGTATAGTGAATGAACAGTTTATATCTTCAAGATTGGCCCCGCCGCGGTGGTCTAGTGGCTAAGGTACTCGGCTGCTGACCCGCTGGTCGCAGGTTTGAATCCCGGCTGCGGCGGCTGCATTTCCGATGGAGGCAGAAATGTTGTAGGCCCGTGTGCTCAGATTTGGGTGCACGTTAAAGAACCCCAGATGGTCGAAATTTCCAGAGCCCTCTACGACAGTGTCTATGATAATCATGTGGTGGTTTTGGGACGTTAAACCCCATATATCAAATCTTCAAGATGGTCTGTGGCACAAACTGACGGCTGCTAATATTGAATCGGTGTGGAAGGGCCCATTTGTCTGCTTTGTATATGTAGTGTATGCTTGTACATGTAGTTTCCAAATTTGGTGTCGGGGGGTCCTTTAAAGCAGAGAAAAAAAAGTTCCTCCAAAGATCGTTGTTTGCAGTATGATATGGTAAAAAGTGGCATTTGGGCTTCTCCTCACTTTTTATCCTTCCTTTGCAGCTTGACATGTCAATTATCATGGAGTGTGCTGTACTCACGGATTCAAACGATGCAAATTTTTTGGCATAGCGGCTGGTATGAGCAATTGTTCGAGACAGCCTCATCATCTCGCAAGGAGTCTCGTTGCTAAAGATGATGTTGGCTTCCGATCTATACATCTGAGTTAAAATTATTTCGATGTGACCCAAACTGAAGTCGTTTAAACAAACATAAGTGCGTTACTTAGCCTTAAATTCTCGCATTTCATTCCATAAGTACTCTACAAGGCATTAAGCGCAGTATCGTGTACAATGCATCAGCTTCCAAATGCTAGAGGTTTTCACCAAAAACCAAGGGAAATTTTGAAAATAAGCTTATGGAGACATCTTAGTTCACAGCAGATAACATGCTCAAAAGGCACAAAGCAGTGGTCCCAGGCCCTTTGGCTTTATTCATCCCCACAACTCTGTATTGAAGGACATACGTATGTGGCCCTTAAAGGGACAGTCTACTGCTCGGAAAAATTTTCTGATTGTGGCAAAAATGATAAGGCCGTTCATCACATCGGCAACAACAAGCGTGTTTTTGTCCCATAAAAAAGGAATTTCAATTTGATGTTTATAGTCGATAAAGAATGACTGCTAGCATCAACCAACAGCGATGTGGTTGTGTTCCAGAATTGCCACTCCGGAATCGGTATAATTCCGCAATCATTCCACAATTCCGTGATCCCGAAATGAAATGGGGACAATGCTTGGAGGAATGTATTGGCAATGGAATCGAGCACCTTTTGCCCGGAATGAAGTGGGAATGGAATTGCATCTTTTACCGAAAATACAGCACATTTTCGCCTACGCGCTGTTTTCAAACTTCAAACATTAGCAAATCAGAGCCTCGAATTTAACAATAAAGTAGCATTTTTAAAATGGCTTAGCTGATTATAAGTACAAAAAACTTATAAGCAACACACCTATAGGGCAAGTTTGTCCTTATATTGACTGCTCTTTTGAAGTTTGTCTCTATTTTTCGCGTAACCGTGGTCGAGCGGAACTACGGTGGCAGATTGCTATCCCCCTCCCTCCCTTTACGCCTTTTAATTTTTTTTTGCCCTCGGTAACACCCCAGCTACAGTACCCAGCCGTCTGCTGTCTTCACACCCTTCACGTCTTCCTGCTAGCATCTGTCACCGTCGGCTGACTAGGACGCATGTTCGATAAAACGCTTGTCTACGTTGTCGTGTATTAATGCTGGCGCGATGCTTTTGTTGACTGCAATCTCCCCTAGTACTCCCCGCTTCACTTGTGCCATACTGCCCCCCCCCCCTCCCCCTGTCTAGACACATGAGCGCCTTCACCCGAAACTGTCGGCGAAGGTCTCTATAGGTCAGCGTAGCACAGAATCGCACACGATGAACTTTGTGCACTCCCCCTTCATACAGACATAGAGAGAACAAACTTCTGAAAGCATTCGTTCCGCAAGCTGCCTGAAACAGGAAAGCTCATGTAACCACCGCCACGGCGGCGCCTCCCCGACTCCCGAAACAAACCTATTATACGCGCTGAACTAAAGACACGTTTGCTCTGTTCTAGGGGAGGCGGGGGCAGGGTGGGTCAACACCATCTAGACTAGCTAAGGCCTCTCCACTTCCTCCTCTCCTTTCCACCTAGATCACCCACTACGACGGAGCTGCTTTGCTGACTCTCGACCCGGTTTCCGGAAGCTGGAGGCATGCTCCCCTTCCAAAGCAACCCGTCTCCATCGCTCCGCCCCGCTCCGACCGGTTTTGTGGTATTTGCACAGAACACTTATACACTATCACGTCATGTTTTTTAATGATAATGAAGGTAGTGAGCTTACGATACAGGAGGTCACGCTAGAGATCACGGATAAATGCAAATATCTGGGCGTATGGATACGCAATGGGACCGAGTACCTAGGAACGTAACGACTAAAGGAAACATGAATGCAGTGGTGATGAAAAATAGTGCACTGTGGAATTACAATAGATGATGTGAGAAGAAATTGGAAAGGTGTCATGGTTTCTGGTCCGACTTTCGGCAATGCGGTCTTGTGCATGATGACATCAGATATTCAAGCAAAATTAGAAATTAAACAAAGCGGAATAGGTAGACTTGCTTTAGGAGCAGACAAGAATACACCAAATCAGGGAGTACGAGGTGATATGGGATGAACATCATTCGAGGGCAGGGAAGCTACAGCAGCAAGATAAAATTTGAGAAGCGATTGAGAGAAATGTGGGAGGAGTGTTGGGCTAGGAAGGTTTTCAGCTACTTGAAAATAAGGAATGTCGATACAAAATGGAGGAAGCGAACCAGAAAATTGACGGGTAAGCAGAGGGCCAAACCAAAAACAACTATCGGTTAAGAAGGAAGTGAAGGAAACGGAGACCGATGTGTGGATAATTGGCGTGATTAAGAAGTCCGCACTGGAGATCTATCAAACTTTTAAGCAGGAAATTGCCAAGGAAAGGATCTATGATATCTCTCGTGGTAGTTCTCTGCTGTTTGAGGCCAGGACGGGAGTAAACGAACCAAAACTTATCGGGTAAAATACGAAGGGGTAGACCCGGTATGCAGTAGGTGTGGAGAGGAGGAGCAAACTGCTGGACACTTGATAATGTTGTGTAAAGAGCTTCAGGATGATGGCGCAGAGTTTTTTGAAGCACTGGGGTTAAGGACAGGGAGGGCAAAATATACTTTAAGCGGGTAGAATTAACTAGAAGTAGGTTATCTGATCGGTGGCTACAATCAAGGCACGAGTGAAAATTTACCTTCATTGCAAAGTGCCAGTGCACAATTTAAAAAAGTCACAATTTAAAAAAGACAATTTAGTTTTTGTTCACTAAGAAGTATGGCTAGGTAGCGTTAGCCACCGCGCCATCTAAAGGGTACATTCTTATCCATCCGTCGTTGGCTTTTCCCGCGATGGAAACATTCGCAAAGCGGCAGGCGTCTGCTACGCGCCTGATATTTTTGCGGCTGTTAGCCGAAATTGCAGTAATTTTGGCGATATTGAATACTATGTCCCTGCAACGTAGTACTGCATTGACTAACCACGCTTAGAACGTGCTTGTGTGGTGCGAAAGGGAGATCTGGTTTGTTTACGTCTAGCTGGTATATTACCGCAATGGTACACACATACTCGGCCATCTGAGGAACGCTTTCTGGACGCACTTTATCATGAGCGAAGGGGATTTCATTAAGTTGCACGTGGAATGACGAATGTAGACGTGCTACAGAAGATCAAAAGCTAGAAATCGCGTAAGTGGCAGTGAGTGGCTAGCTCATGCTAATGCGTTTGAAACCTCTTTTATTTTGTGCGTTAGATTTCTTTTCTAAACATTCCTACTGCCCTATCCTGTTTTCTCGGATAGTTCACAAGCCTTTAAGTAGCTCATATGAAGCGGTATGTGCCCACCGGTGTGAACGCGATACTACAAAACAAAACCTAGGTAATTGGCGTAAGTCTAGCATCTCGTCCAATTGGTTTATGATCGACACCATTGTATGACTAACATGACTAATCGGTGACGAGATCAATAACTGGACATGTTTACCTTTTACGCCATCATTAAAACAATAACAACTCGCAAAGTCCTTAATTGTGCTGTCGCCTTAGACCGCTAGATGGGAAATACACGTCGTTTTTCTTCAGTCAATAAATTTAATTTACCCCCCCCCCCCCTCCCGAGAGTTTTCTGCATCGAACGTGGTTTTGCACTATCTGTTTAAGGTAATTTAATTCAAGCTTCTGCACTTCATTTTGTTTTGCACTGCATCTGGGATTGGTTGGCCGACCACGGAGACGGTGTAAAACGACGACGCTATGATGAGGCGATAGATGGCGCCACAAACTATGCCATAGTTTATGTAATGCTGACGCCATGCATCACTCGTACGTAAGACGTG